TGAATATAACTCACACTCACCCCACCCCACACCCAATGAAACTTATATTTTTTTAATTGAATTTTAGATTTCCCCCGTCGATTGACTGGACCGAATTGCTCGGCCTCAGGTTGACATGTCGGTACATCCAGATGACGAGTCCCAAATAGGGCGAAGTGCGATCCCACTGCTAGTCACCATCCACCAATTAAACTTATATTCTGTTGACTATAAATACACTAGTATGTCACCCTTTTGTCTATTCACACTTTATCTTATGTTCTGAATGACTGCAAACCTTTTATATACGTTCATTTAGCAATATTAAATAATGAACTATCACTCCGTATTATACATATACCCCAATACAGTTTCCGATGTAATTTTCACATGCCTTTCTTTAGTGGCTATTTGTATTATAATATTCATGGATTTATAACTGTAGAGCCTGAAGAAGAATTCATCGAAAACACCTGTTAGCTTGAAATCATCTTGTTTTGATTACAGCATGGGGGGATTTTTAATTTGCTGAAAGCCAACAAGTGTTGGCAAAAGAAGCATCAAAGACACGAATTCAAGCGAACACAGGGAAGACAGCGGTAATAAAGGTAACCAACCAACAACAGAATAAATTTGAAAGACGCCACTTCCTCCATATATCTAGAAAGCATCTTTTCAACCACATGCGGAACAGATAAACTTGTCAAAGCCAGATAAGATTGGAAAGGCAAGACAGGCATTCAGTAAATGTGAAATCAGTCTGAAGATCTACTATACTCAGACTCAGTCATCATAAAGAACAAGATTCAGTATTTCTATAAAGTTCAGAGACTTGGCATTTTGAACTTTTTTTCAGGCTTTTGTCAACAGCTGCCTTCACTGGTTTCACACTGAATATCAGATGGCCAGAAAGAATTACCAACAAGGAACTCTTGCAATCAACCAAACTAGAACCTATCGCTCAACAAATATGATGGAGAAAATGGAGAGGCCACTGAATGACACCGCACGCCAGGCCATCACTCGAGCAGAATCCGAATGCGAAACGACGACTCGTTGGTGGGTCTGAGGGTGACACGAAGATTGTATAAGAGAAGATGAAACTTTGAGCAGTCATGGGGACAGCTAAAGAGGATTGTATAGGACAGGATGAAATGGTGATATGCTGTCGCTATCATCCTACATTCTACTCGGTACCTAAGGGAATAGAAATAAATAAGTAATAATAGTTGATTCATTATTATTTGTGTATCATAAATCTCCTCATGTATTCTATGTCATGTATACAACAAGGTCTGTCTGTCTGTCTGTTTTCGACAGAGAACTTTGCACCTATGTGCGGCAGTTCAAGTCGCCACACTCCCTCTTTGTAGCACGCAAAGCAAGAGAAGAAAGTAGGAGAAATGCAGAGTATAGACAGTAAACGGAGGTGCGAAACAAAGGAATGGTAATAACGAAGAACAATATAGTTTCATTGGAAATCATAAGTCACAAAGAGTGGATGCATCTGACTTAGCCATTGAGAACGATTTTGAGCCATATCACCAATTGTCTCCAACCATTGGTTTTTACCATCCCGAGGACCCCAACCAGCCAGAAAGTCTACACCTTCCTACGTGGCTTAAACTAACTGTTGTGGATTTCATTGACTGATGAAGCCATGTTTCGGTTTGATGACCGCTAGCTCTTTTCCAGCCTGACCCTATGTGGGCTAAAATCGCCTGTCGAGGAAGGCAATGACTAGGCATACGTAACACATGTCCTAACCATCTCAATCGGCGTAACTTCACAGCCTCGTCGATTGGTTTCCCCTCCTTACCTAGCACTCGACGGAGGCTTAACCTCAATATTGCTCACCCTATTATGCCACTTCACACGGGAGATAGAACGCAGACACCTATGATCAAACACAGCTAGCTAGGCTTTTCATGTCTTCCACTCTCAATGGCCAGGTCTCACTCACAGCCATAAAAGGAGGACAGAGCGGACTGATGAGCAGTACACACGCCCTTTAGTCGACAGCCAGCCGGATATCACGTCTACGCCAGAGACGGCGTAAACTGGCATATGCGAAACTATCCGTCTGTATTCGTGCTGAGATTTCGTCAGAGATCAACCCGTTGGCGCTGGCTGATGCTACTTCCTAAGTAAGTGAAGTGGTCAACGTGCTCTGCCACTTCACTTCCTATTTCTAAACTAGGAGTCAGTGTAGTCCAGTCCTGTAACATCATCTTACATTTGGCGGGAGCGAATCGCATGCCAAGGTGTTCAGAAGACTCTGCATTTTGTCAGCGTCCTCGCCTAGAAGGACTATACAACAAGGTATGTAGAGCAGCTAGCTAGCTAGCTGAAGAGTTCTACCGAAATTTAATCACTTCATTTAGTCCTGCCTTACTAACAGTTATTCTACATTTTAAACCAAAGATATTAGTACGGAGAATATATTAAGAATGAACCTATCTCCATTATAGTGGTTGATTTTCAGATATTCTACTGGCAGTCGCCCAACGATTTGCTTTTAACACCCAATGGAGTTTGCACGGTAGTTTAGACTAACAGTCAGTATTCACGAATCAATGCCATTTCCTATAATCTGGACATCAATCAATATTGTACTTCCTGAATTACACAGCCTATTGATGAAATTTCCATGATACAATCAATATCAGTGGTATTGGAGAACATCAAAATATATATTCCAACTTCATCCTGAGCTACAAACCTTTTCTGATTTCAAACTAATTATTTTCAACAAATATCAACCGCCAAGTTTAATTTTAACTGACTGATTGACTAACTAACTAACTGTAATTCCAACGTACAAGTCTATAAAAAAGGATAGCAATTCAATTTACCAGAATCTGAAAACTATTCATAAACGGAAATGTATAACAGAAAGAATAATTACACGGAGAATAATAAGATTTTTATGGATCTATTCAGGAGATCACAAAAAATCGACGGATCCGTACTACTGAGAATGAATAACTTTCAGGCCATAAATCAACAACAGTCGCCAACCATTGGTTATCAGCGCGTCTTGAGGACTCCAATCAGACGCTCTACACCTCTCATCAACATGGCTCAAACCGGCAGTCAAAGACTTCATGAATTGATTATTATTATCATTGTTCCCTTGGGTTCCTAGTGGAACATAGGGCTTCAACTACACGTCTCCACTTGCTTCTGTCTTCTGCTGTACTTTTCACCTGTATCCATGTTAATCCATACTGTTTCAACTCCTCTTCACACGATCTCCTCCATGTCACCCTTGCACTGACGTCCCACTCGCCGCTTCCCTTTCGGGTTCCATTCGAGCGATGGCCTGACGCGCGATGTCACCCAACGGCCTCCTCAGCGAGTGTCCAATCCATCTCCACTTTCTCCTGCATATTTGTTGAGCGATTGGTTCTTGTTTTGTTTGTTCCCATAGTTTCTTGTTGGTGATTCTTTCCAGCCATCTGATCTTCAGTATAGAGCCAGCGAAGACAGCTGTTGATAAAGGTCTGCAACAGGCTGTTGGAAATATTCTTGGTGACTCGCCAAGTTTCTGATCCGTATAGAAGAACTGACTGACTTGACGTTTGTATTGAAAATCCGAATTTTGTTGTTGTTGATGCTGAGTGACAGCGGAAGATTTCCAGATTGGTTTCAGGTTGATGAATGTGTTTCTCGCCTTCCCGATTCTCGATTTGACATCCTCGTCCGTTCCATGTGCCTGTAGTTGAGGCAATGCTCCCTAGATAAGTGAATGAAGTAACCTCTTTCAAATCCCTCCCGTTGATGGTGATTGGCACTGGATGTTGCTGTTGTTGTTGTTGGTTGGTTATTTTCATAACCTCCGTCTTGTCTATGTTCACCTGGAGTCCTGTCCTCTCCAGCTGCTTCTTAGACCAGTTTGTCGGTTTTCGCTTGTAAGTCTTCAATTTTGTGTGACATCAAACATAAATCATCCACGCGCGAAATCCAGGTTTTCTAGGTTCTTCACGTCGGTCCAGGATATCCCTGTCTTCTCGTTTCCCACTGTCTGACGCATAATCCAGTCCACCACAATTAGGAATATTATTGGTGATAATAAGCAGGCTTGTCTGACTCCTGTGTTTACTCCAAACGCCTCGCTGAGATTTCCGTTGTGGATCACTTGACATGTGCCGTTGTCGTACAGCTGTTGAATAAGGTTGATGAATATTCGGGGTACGCCGTAGTACTCGAGTAGTTCATGAATTGATAGCATGTTTTATTTAGTTTCACCACCTATATAACTCATTTACCAACTTCAGCCTATGTCGGCTAATATTAATCGACTAAGAAGTTGATGCAACAACAACAGCTAGCATCAATCACCGTCAAAGGGAGAGATTTAACAGAGGTTACTTCCTTCACTTATCTCGGAAGCACCGTTTCAACTACAGGCCGTTGGAAGGGATGAAGATGTCAAAGCCAGTCAGAATCGGAAAGGCAAGATACGCCTTCATCAACCTGAAACCAGGTTTCAAATCTTCTGCATACAGTTAGCATAAGAAAAAAGATTCGGATTTTCAACACAAATGTCAAGTCGGTCCTTCTATACGGATCAGAAACTTGGCCAGCGTGTCACGAAAAGCATTTCCAACAGGCCATTGCAGACTTTTATCAACAGCTGCCACCTTCGTTGGTTCCATACTGAAGATCAAATGGCTGGCTGGCCAGAAAGAATTAGTAACAAGAAACTCTGGCTGGGAAGAAACTAACACCAAGAGCCAATTGTTCAACAAATATGTAGGAGAAAATGGAGATGGATGGATCGGGCATACATTGAGGAGACCGTCGAATGACATCGGGTGCAATGCAGGCCATCGTCCAAGTGGAATCCAAATGGGAAGCGACAAGTGGGTCGTCGGTGCGAGGGTGACATGGAGGAGGTCGTGTGGCGAGGAGGAGATGAGAGATTCGGGGCAATCGTGGAGATGCGTTGTTGAAGCCTTATTTTCCAAGTGAATAATAACAATAATAATAATAACAAGGTGATGCTTTGGCATGCATCATAAACACGCCTGCTTTTAGCAAAAAAAAAAATTATCAACTTTGTAAAAACAAAAGCATTGGCAAAACAATCTACTTACTCGATCTAATTGTTGTGAAAGTGTTATCCAGTCGTCAAGTAGGCATTCACTTTTCAAGGATAAATTATTCTCTTCTACATCTTCTTCAGAAATATTTGCATTTGTCGAGGTATTATTATTATTACTACAATTATTATTATTACTATGATGATGAAGGTTACGATTCTGATTACTACTAGATACAAAACAATTTGCATACATTGGTTTCGACAGTGTATCAGTACACCATGAATATGCATTGAATTCTGTGGATTTCTTCTCAGAACGTATTGATTCACGACTAATATGTATGCTGGCCTGATTCATATAATTTGGTATAGTGCTTAAACATGATTGGATATAGGCATTAACAACTTGAGGTGTTACAGTATCCAATAAATGTGAATCAGGTGGATGTACATACGGGATACTGGCAACTAAACGTTGCCATAGTGCTAATAAATAATGTAGGCTGTTTTGACTGCACTCATCATTACATACCTAAACAGGACGAAGAAGAACAAAAGAAATAATTATGTGTAATAAAAAAGGTTTCCAAAAATCATTATGTAATATTTATGTGAATAGACTGTCCGGGGTTCAAAAGAAGAAATTACGGAAAATACTTTTTTTTAATACTTCATATGCACTGATCCCTATGGACGGGAGAAATTTGAAACAGACGACATTCTTTACTTATCTGGGGGGGGGGGCAGTATCGTTCCAACTACAGGCCATAAGATCGGATGACGGTGTCAAAACCAAGATCAGAAAAGCAAGGCAAACATTCATCACTTCAAAATCACTTTGGAAATCTTCTACACTCAGCATACACGACAAAATTCAGATTCACAACACCCAGTGTTAAGTCAGTCAGTTCTTCTATATGGGTCAGAGACTTGTCGAGTTCGTCATCAAAAGCATTTCCAACAGACCATTGCAGACTTTTTATCAACAGCTGCCTTCTGTCTGTCTTTTGGAAGTGTGTGGGCGGTTGTTACTTCCCGCCTGCCCACACCGTGGAAGTTGGTTGATTCTTCGGGTACCTGAAACAGAGAGAGGGTTAGTGTTGCGTGACCGCAGAGCCCAGAGGACAACTGCTTGAGGCCGGTCACACACGGCCTGTATGAACTGGTTTCTTGGTTTGGTTCCGTATTAGTAAATTTACCGCCGGTTACGGACCACCGTAGGGTAAGTCGGGATGTACAATTGTTGGGGTCGACCTTTTCTAACCCCCTCTCTCCAGAGTGGAGAGACAGCATAGCTGGCATGCTGGTCATCTGAGGGAAACACTTCACTGCTGTTAATTCCTTGTTCCCCAGCAGTACGACTTTCCCCACAGACCCCCAGCATAGTGAAAGAAATATTCTTACACTATGCCGGTAACTGCTTTTAGTCTAATCGCTATCCTAACGACCTGCAGGAACATTGGTTCCAGCCAGTGTAGCTTGTTGGGTCATCGTGATGTGCAAGCCCGAACACCACGTCAAGGTAGCAGCTATCGGTCGCTTCGTATTAGAGGTCAGATGGCTAGAAGGAATTGAAAACAAAGAACTTTGGGAACAAACCAATCAAGAACCTGTCGCCTAACATCTATGTCGAAGAATATGGAGATGGACAGGGAGCACAATGAGATCGAGTGGAACCCCAACAGGAAATGATGAGTTGGGCATGGGTCCGGTGGCGACATGGAGATCGAGTGGGGAGAAGAGCTAATGGGGAATCGTGGAGCCAGACAAAGAGAACTGAAGAAAACAGGATGAATGAAGATGAGCCGTTGAATCCCTATGTCCCACTCGGAAACTAGGAGAATAGTAATGATAGAAATACTTATTGTGGGCTGAGGCTGCTACTTAGACCTTAGCGGCTTCATCGTGGCGCTATAATTAATATTTGTTGAAGTTATTTTGATGTAAGTTCAAGTTTCAGTTCGTAAACCATCTATGAGTGGGAATGCACATAAATCCAGTGACGAGCCCAGAACAAGATGAAACACATCTCATGGGTTTCACAGCTAACCAGCTACCGCTAATCAGATAACTGCAATTTGGCCCCCATAAAATATCCATGATACTATTTGTTACACACTTTTATCTAACCTCCCACTTTATACTTTATCTCTCTCGCTCTCTAGCTTTCTCAGCCACCTTTTCTTTTCCTTGAGAATTCTGGATGGCTTGCTTCCTCTTATTTGTCCATCCTGTTATGTCCTAACAACGTGTTGTTGCCAAGTTATATGGTGTACGTGCAGTTGTGGGTACCTACCATACATTAGCTGGGATGACAATTTCTCCACTGACCTCTGAATTGGGGGTCCTATGTGTTGGTATTATCGACGCTAGGTCAACCTACCAAGTGTGGCAATTTGTTGCTAGTTACTCTCTCTCATAGTGTGAGGTTATTTCTTCCTGTTAAGCCATTTGTCTTGCCCTGTCACAGGCTTCTCTTAATATCTAGCTGCTCCAATCAAGTCTTCAATCCTCCTTCAAAAAAATGGGGCTTCAATCTGTCAGTATCATCTTCGGCACAAGATGGTCTGCAAAAACGTATTTAATTACCACCTAAGTTATAGACTTATCGCGGGGATATGGAAACTCTACTAAACCAGGTGAGCAATCTGTTATTACCAACTGATATTGACTGTTGCAAGATGTTTGACAGAAGCAAATACGAGTCGTTGATTGATGTTACTGGAATAGTTTATAGCGGTGGCTGAATGCACTGTGAGCACGCAAGGAAACACTTAGCGAGAACATCTCTCATGCTGTATTGGCCAGTAGTACACACCTTAATCCATAATACTGTATGTTCTTGCAATACCTCTATGGTATTGTTGGTGGCATTCTTGAAGTAATTCACGACGAAGGTTCTTCGGAATTACTGTTACCCATGTTCCATTAGTTTCTTTTCAAATTGGTACTTCAAATGCATCTAGTTGTGATTTGTTTTTCTGTCGAAACAACGCTATTAAAAACTCAGTACTTACTTTTGACTTCTTGATTTCTTTCCATTCACCTAGATAACTGTTTAAAGGGTAGGATGTTTGGTGGTGAACAAGCCGTGATGAATCTTACCCCACAGCATTCACTCTATATGCTATGCTACCTATGGTAATTCAGTTATAATATCGCATCTCAACGAGTAGTCGGGTATCAACTGAACCAACGGTTCTTTAAACTGATCAAAAGTTCCCCGTGATACATCATTCCACATGAGTCTTCCATTAATTGGTAACACTTTCAGACCCTCGAGAATTCATGCGTCTGGATTATGCGCCAGACAGTGGGAAACGAGAAGACACGGATATCCTGGCCCGACGTCAAGAACCTAGAAGACCTGGATTTCGCGCGTGGATGATTTATGTTTGATGTCACACAAAATAGAAGATTTACAAGCGAAAATCGACAAACTGGTCGAAGAAGCAGCAAAGACAGGACTCCAGGTAAACATAGACAAGACGGAAATTATGAAAATAACGAACCAACAACAACAACAGCAACATCCAGCGCCAATCACCATCAACAGGAGGGATTTGAAAGAGGTTACTTCATTCACTTATTTAGGTAGGGAGCATTGTCTCAACTACAGGCACATGGAACGGACGAGGATGTCAAATCGAGAATCGGGAAGGCAGGCAAGAAACACATTCATCAACCTGAAACCAATCTGGAAATCTTCGTCACTCAGCCTGCATCAACAACAAAATTCGGGTTTTCAATACAAACGTCAAGTCAGTCACTCCTTCTATACGAATCAGAAACTTGGCGGGTCACCAAGAATATTTCCAACAGCCTGTTGCAGACCTTTATCAACAACTGTCTTCGCTCTTTACTACTCGAGATCAGATGGCCGGAAATAATCACCAACAAGAAACTATGGGAACAAACAAAACAAGAACCAATCACCAAACAAATATGCAGAAGAAAGTGGAGATGGATTGGACTCTCGCTGAGGAGGCCGCTGGGTGACATCACGCGTCAGGCCCTCGAGTGGAACCCGAAAGGGTAGCGGCGAGTGGGACGTGTAAGGGTAACATGGAGGAGATCGTGTGTAGAGGAGTTGAAACAGTATGGACTAACATGGACGCAAGTGAAAAGTACAGCAGAAGATAGAGGCAAGTGGAGACGTTTAGTTGAAGCCCTATGTTCCACTAGGAACCCAAGGGAACAATAATAATAATAATGTTTGGTGCCCAATAAGCCGTGATGAATCTTACCCCACAACATTCAATCTATATGCTAGGCTACCTATGGTAATTCATTTATAATATCGAATCTCAACGAGTAGTCGGGTATCAACTGAACCCACGGTTCTTTAAACTGATCAAAAGTTCCCCGTGATACATCATTCCACATGAGTCTTCCATTAATTATTAACACTATGAGACCCTCGAGAGAAGGTATCACGATAAATATTATCTCTACAGGACGAAGACTTTACTAGTGAATATATATGTATATATTCCACTGAACAATCTGATCCCCTTTTCGGCAACACTGTCTCATACACACTGCTCGGAAGTAGGAACCACTCAACATAATCATTCCATTGTAAATTGTTAACATACATGTATAGCCATAGCTTCAAAAGGTAAAGTGATAGCTACTAGGAAGCGTTGAGCTATAACATTTAAGTTCGATTACATAGAAAATCGATTATCCTAATCTCAACTTCTATTCGTCAAAAGCTACTCAAGAATTTTGTAGGAATTTGATTTGTCCCAAGTTTGACCACGGATTGATATCAGTTAGAAAACTATTGAGAATCAGGAGTACTGGACATCTGTTTCGTCCTATTTTGGGACTCGTCGACAGTACGCATCCAACGGGTTTATCAGCTTGACTTGTAATCGGAACGTCCTGGATTCGAATCCTAGCGGTGGGTGTGTACTGCCGATGACTCCCAAACTAGGACGAAACAGCTGTCCAGTAGTCCTTGTTGGTTTCCAATGATCTCTCCAGTTGCTATCAATCCGCGATCAAACTTTGAAAATATTCATTTTCTGGCTACCAGTCAGTTACTTACTGAGTCATTCAAATTGGAGGTAAAGGGTACACACTTGTTTACATGTCATATAGTACCACACAGGAGTATTTAGCAATGGAATTGTTTATGAGCGAATCGGTGGTACGAGTAAGGGGGCAAAATACGTCTACTATATATTAAAATCCCTATTCGCACATGCCTTCCGAATTGTGCTACTCTTGTCCGCTGTAGTGTGTTTCTTTGTCGTCCCGTTCATGTTTTCCATGTTGCTTCATAAGCATCGTTCATTTATTCTCTTCGCCATTCGATATTCCTACAGATGATGCACATATTTATATCTGTGGCTATATACTACTCATAATTCTTGTCAGTAGCATAGTCCATACTTTCATTGAAACAGGTCTTTCATGTACCAGGCCACATGCGCCACAAAATTATTGCTTAAGAGATGATGATAACTGCCCAGCTGTACACGTTGAAGCTGAACAGGAGAGGGATTCGAACATAAAACTCATTTGGCTGAAAGCTCTAATTGCTTACGCCAATGAACCACGTGTGAACTATAGTCTCACGCCGCTACTTACTTACACTTTATAATGTGTTACCTTGAGTTCATGTCAGTATTATAAAGCAAAAAAACACAAAAAACAAAAACAGAAATTCTCAAAAATTAAGATTGTATGATAACTAACCTTTATACTTTGTACAGTGAAAATAGTCAATAATTCAATAAATGAAGCATAATCACTGAGTGCCAGCAACTCATTCAACTGATAACTACATTTCAGTCTGGATAACAGAAGACAGAATTCATGATATGCTTCGGGATTATTCATTAAATTACACGCGTCATTATTGTTATTCATACTACTGCCATTACTCTTATCCGGAGTAGTAGTAGGAGTACTAGGTGTAGTAGTGACATGTCTATTCAATGGTGAACCAATGACAGTTGGTGAGGCTGTGGTTGTTGTCGTCGCCATCGTCTGTGTTGAATTCCCACAAACTGATAATAAAATACTCCGACATCCAGATACAATTTGCGCGAGAAATATCGATCTTTCAGCATTTGTGAATAAAGAGCGTCGAATACTTGAGATTTGAACAAGACAAGAGAGCGCCTAAGCGTATGTGGAAGAAAAACAAAACAAAAAAAACCAATTGTTAACAATAAATCTTTTTTTGGTTACAGGATTTCATCATGAGCTGACATTGGTTAGAGAACCATTGGAAAACCTACAGGGAGTACTGGACAGCTGTTTCCTCAGTCCTAGTTTGGGACTCTTCATCAGTACGCACCCACCGGGATTCGAACCCAGGACCTTCTGGTTACAAGGCGAGCTAGCTCGTAGACCATTAAGCCACTGGGACCCGATCCAATGGCCAGTCCATGAATTCTAACTTCTGCCAATTCACGATATAGCGCAACCGCTAGCCAATGTCTTCGGCGAGTATTTGTCCTCACACCCGACCTGCTGCACCCTACTGGTCACGACTTCCCACTAGAACCCCAGGTAACTACCTACCTGAATAGGGCAAGTCGCCAGTGAGCATCTCATTGATATTCAAGTGTTGGTTTGTACGGATTTGTTTGATTGGTTACAGGATTTCATCTTTTTATGAATATTGTCAAAAGAACAACAGACACAATACTGGTTGATGCAATTGTGCTCTTTATCTTAAAGTGACGTGAGTCGGTAGTTCAGTGGTGAAATGCTAGCCACATGTGTGGTCTACATTCGATTCCCGGCCGACGCAATCCTTAACCACACACATTTAGTCGGTAGTACATCCGGTAAAGACGGAAGATCGAGAGCGAGGCTATGCAACCTCATCCCGTAAAAACAACACTACTGTGGTAAGAGCTGTCTGCTAGCCGAAATTGGTTGACAGCAATTTACGACGGCGTAAACTGGCATATGCGAAACTAGCCCTCTATATTCCTGCTGAGATTTCGTCTGAGATCAACCCGTGGGCGCTGGCTGATGGTACTTCCCAAATAATTAAAGCGGTCAACGTGCTCTACCACTTCACTTACTATTTCTAAACTAGGAGTCAGTGTAGTCCAGTCCTGCAACATCATCTTACATTTTACAGGGGCGAATCGCATGCCAAACATTCGTAGGTTGCAGCCCAAGGTGTTCAGAAGACTCTGCATTTTGTCAGCGTCCTCACCTGGATGGACTATATCGTCTGCATATTCTAAGTCAACGAGATTATTCCCTGGTAACAAGTCAATCCCCGAGTCGCTGAAGTTAGTTAGGGTTAATTCCATTAGTTCATCTATAATGAAATTGAATAGAAACGGGGATAGTGGGCATCCCTGACGGACACCACTGGTTGTCACCAGTTCAGATGACAGCTCGCCGTAAGCCCTCACCTGGCTGCATGAGTTCAAGTAAAGTGCCTTGATCAGTGCAATGTATTTTCTCGGCATTCCCTTTACAGCCAAGCATCGCCAGAGAACCTCTCGTTCGACAGAATCGAATGGCGCCTTTAGGTCAAGAAATATAATGATTGTTGGACGTCGGTAGGAATGCCTATGTTCTAGAATCTGTCGCAGGGTGAAGATATGATCAATACACCCTCTTCCTGGCCTAAAGCCTGCCTGGTTTTCTCGTGTTTGTGCCTCCCGAGAACCACAGTCTATGCAATATTATTGAGCCTAGGATTTTAGATACTATATTAGTCAAGCTAATCCCTCTGTGATTATCACAGGAAGACTTGTCTCCCTTCTTGCATATCGGGATGATCAGTGACTTACACCAACCCGATGGGACTTCCTCTGATTCCCAGACGCTGCTTAGTGCCTCAGTAAATGCAGACAGTAAACTGCCTCCAGCAACAATAACAAAGCTTAACCTTGAGGAACTCAACTCATCACACCAGATTTAACGTGTGCAAACACGATTCCCAGTTATATGGCTTAACTTTCTAAGAAACGGTTACAAGCGGTACAGAATAACCTTCAGCGAGAAAGTAACCAATCACAAGACGCTGCTTCTCTGCTGAAATAACGAATAACAATGTACATAAGTATCTATAAATATCTCTTGATTTTATCAATATACGATCTGTTGACTGGCCCGTTTTCTTCTGTCGTTACACTACCACTACAGAAACCTCAAAGCTCAAGCTTAGAATCCAATGTTCCACTGGGAAGGCAAAGAAATTGAGAACAAATTTTAAAGTGACGTAATTACTAAAACGGAGAGAGAGAGTGTGTGGTGAGAGCTGGCTGCTAGCCAAAGCTGGTAGACAGTAATTGACGTCAATGTTTATGTCCCCAATATTGGTGGTGAGAAAATGAGAACAAAGGCTTTGCGTAGGCAGATACAGTTAGCATACAGATGATCTGACACAGCCACAAAGAGATGCAAGGTTAACTTTGTGTGAGAAACAACCAATCAAAAGACTGTATTTTCTACTAGCATTAATCTACAATAATGTACATTAAAATATATAAATATGTATTGATTTTCCTTAATAAACGATCTGTTGCCTGGCCCTTGTCTTCTGTTGTTACAAGAGAAAGAGACAGTGTAGTATAAATGTGTTAACTCAGCTTCCCTAGTTTTTATTGAGAAGTCGGGAAAGACTGAGAAATGAGATAGATACCTTGGCGAAACGATAAGGCGTCATATAAAACATGTTTATCATTCGGTTTTATCAGATGAGAATTAACCTCCACCCGACTTTATTGACCTCTTAAGTAGTGACCATAGCTTCCCATTACAACTTTCTGAACATTGAGGCTAGTAAATCACTAATACTGTACTTCCACTTGGATGAAAAGTTTGTTGAAGACATATCGTCACTATCAAAAGGTCGGCCAACATTGGGTGGATTTTTCCTCCTAAACTGGGACTCTTTATTGATGTATGGAACACATCAAACACATCAACTCGAAGGTTGAAGCAATTCAATTCACTTATGAATTGGAAAATCAGGAAGGGGAGCTCCCAATGTTAGATTGCAACGTAAAGAGGAAAGAAGATGGGAAGGTAAACACTAGTGTTAACAGGAAACCCACACACTCAAACAGATATTTGGACTTCCGATCATCCCATCCTATGTCAGTGAAAATAAGATTGGTGAAATATTTAAATGACAGAGCACAAAAACTAAGTAGTACCAAAGAAAATCTAAAACAGGAACTGATACACATAAAAGATGCCTTGAAACTTAATAATTACCCGGATAAATTAGTCAGGAAATATGTAAGGAAATGTAAAAATAAAATAAATAATGATAGTAGCGATAGTGAGAATAACAATAATAATGATAATAATAATAATATTAATGACGACACCAACAATAAGGAATCTGAATCGTCAGTAGTAATTCCATACAAGGAAAGAACCTCGGAAGCCTTACGCAGAATTCTTAACAAGGCAGGAATGAGAGTGGCTGTCATTCGAACCCACAAACTCAATTAGAGACAAGCTTCGTCGGTTAAAGGATCCTGTGAAGCCAACAGAACAGAACACTTAAGTTTATCTAATACCCTGTTGGAATGATTGTCAGGTCAAATACATAGGTCAAACTAGTAGAACAGGGGAAGTCAGACTAGCTTAATATAAAAATTTAGCGAAATCTAGATTAGTTGACCCGAATAAGATAAGAAATCCTGAGAATAGTTCAGCTATAGCACTCACTACACGCAATTACACACAACCATACAATAGGATGGGATAAGATGACAGTTTCAAAATCTAATGCCTCAGGGTGGAGGGAGAGATTGATAAGAGAAGCTTTGTTTATCGAATCAACTGCAAATACATGTAATAGGAATGATTCATCACTTGTCCCCCATATCTGGACAATTCTACTACCTCTACGACAACAAATAGAAGAGGACAAAGGAAACTATAAAAATCAAGTTTCAAAGTCGTGTGATTATAATTAATGATATGATTATGAACAATAAATTTTGTTCGAAACCTTGTCATCCAGTAAATAATACTGTTTCACTGTGTGATATATCTAATAAACAAACTAATATGGAATTACTTACTACCACAGTGCTCAAGTTTTACACATATATTAATATGTATGGAAGGCGTTTGCTTGTATTGCCCCCTCTTCCATAATCACTAACTAGCTACGATTACTGCAACTTTTTTCCCCATTATGTTTTTTGGATCTGTTAAGACAGTCAGGTGCATGGTTATGAGATTCATAGCAGTCACTGTTCTGTAATGTGTGTGAAGATTGAGGTAGGGTCTAAAGGAGAAATTATACTACATGTTAACAAGGATTCGACGTCAGTAAGGTGTTTCTCTCAAGTGGACTGGCGGAATTTCAAGTCAAAAGCCATTGGATTCCGTCTGAAAGGCCTGACCAGTAACCTGAAGACCCTGGAATCCATCCTTGGAAGTGGAAGGGGTCATGCGTTGCGTACTGCTTGGAGAATCTCAAACTAGAATGAAACACCTGTCCAGTAGTAAGTAGATGATTTTACCAGTTTTATTTTCGTGATCTGATTTGGAAAAAAAGCAAATAAGAAGGAAATTATCAAGAAAGAAAAAAGAGCACAACTTACCAGCACAGATAAATCAGGAGAAAGATTTCTATACATACGAAAAAACAATGGGACAGTATCTGAATCAAGAAAAATTGATCGCCAACTTGTCGGAATTTGTACAACAACTAAATCATCCAAACTATTACCTGATGATGAACCATCACATACTGTCCCACTGCATGCACTGCCACCGGTTGATCCAATAAAATCGTATGAAAGACAAGAGTGAACTAATTGTAAACTTTGCGATAAAAGTCCATGCTGTATATGTGTGATGCACAAAAGAAGAAAAAACAGAAAAGAATTATTGTAAGAATTCGAAAATAACTTTCAAGGCATTAGGGATAGGGAACACACACACGGTAGCAAATAACACTTAAGAAATTAAATAGCGTATTTTGCGTGTCAATTACAGGTGTGTGTGTGTGTGTGTTGGAGAGAATATGAGATTCACTCATGACTGATAATCGTCAACTGAATTGAACATATGAACTGTTACCCACAACAACCGATTGCAATTCTATGCAGCTGGCAATGCGCCATACCTATTATATGAGAGGGCTAGTGATTGCTACCTGCCTGTCTAAACCTCAATAAAGTGGAGTGGGTTTCAAACACGTGAGCCAGTGATTGGAAGTCAAGCGCCTGAGCCAATGAACCACAGCAATGATGGATGACGTTATAGGTTTGTTTTACTGGTCACTTGATGACGGGTCTAGAACAACTTCATCTACTGAGGCTTGGTAGCCAGTCAGCCAACCAGCCAATCGTCACACCACAAATGTGGCTTGTGGCTAAGTATACTGGGTAAATTTTGTTTTGATAAAGTCTCACAGCGTGTTATACAGTAATGTTTACTGATGACCACATTTCGAGAACAATTTATTGCTCATAATCATATCAAGGTAATCACAAGACTTCCTAAATCCATTTATATAGTCCGTTGTTTTTCACTTGATTTGATTGGTAGTATTATTTTCCATATTTTAGGGATGATTGATGAATCATTCCTATTGCATGTGTTGGGTGTAGACTCGATGAACAAGGATTCAGTAATCAACCTATCTCTTCACCTACCCAGATTACTTTTTAGACTTTTAACCCTCTCCCACCCTATTGTGTGGCTGTGTGCTAATGCGTGCATTGCAATTGCTGAGCTTTTTTTAAAATTACTTATCTTCTCGGGGTTAACCATTCTTCCCTTAGCTAAATTCTTATGATCCGATAATCTGGCTACCCCTGATCTACTAGTTTGACCTCCATCACAGTCATTGCAGGGTATTTTGTAAATTATATTATTTTGTCTAATTGGGTCAACCTACAGGGTCCTTTAACCTACAGAGCTTGTCCCTGAGTGAGTTTGTAGGTTTGAATGCCACCCTAATTCCTGCTTTATTCAGAATCCTATGTAGGGTCTCAGATGTCCCCTCCTTATATGGTATAACAGTGGATGACTTATATTCTCTCTTATTTATGTTATCATTACTAGTTTCACAATTATTTTTATTTTGCTTTTGACCTTTTGTCATCTTCCCTATGAATTTTATAGGATAGTTATTTAATACCAACGCTTCCTCTCTCTGTTTTATTTCATCATTTAGGTCTTTTTTTTGGA